TAGAAGTTACGTATTGCTATAATTAACACCAAACTAACTAAGACTCTTCACTACAGACTGGATGAAATACTTGAGAATTATTGATAAATCAGAGATAAATTAACTTAAAATACTCGATAAATAATGAACTAGAGGGTTAAATAAGACGCCCCATTACTGATACTATTAACATAATTAACACCAAACTAACTAAGATCTTCACTACAGACTGATGAAATATTGAGAATTATTGATAAAATGAGATAAATTAACTTAAAATACTTGATAACAATGAACGGGTTAAATAAAAGTGGCCCCATTACTGATACTATTAACATAATCAACACCAAACTAACTAAGATTCACTACAGACTGATGAAATACTGAGAATTATTGATAAAGATAAATTAACTTAAAATACTTGATAATAATGAACTAGAGGGTTAAATAGCACCATTACTGATACTATTAATAACATAATTAATACCCAAACCACCAAGATCTTCACTACAGACTGATGAAATATTGAGAATTATTGATAAATGAGATAAATTAACTTAAAATACTGATAAATAATAACTAGAGGGTTAAATAAGACGGCCCCATTACGATACTTAATAACATAATTAACACCAAACTAACTAAGATCTTCACTACAGACTGATGAAATATTGAGAATTATTGATAAATGAGATAATTAACTTAAAATACTTGATAAATAATGAACTAGAGGGTAAATAATATGGCCCCATTACTGATACTAATAACATAATTAACACCAAACTAACTAAGATCTTCACTACAGACTGATGAAATTGAGAATTATTGATAAAAATGAGAGAAATTAACTTAAAATACTTGATAAATAATGAACTAGAGAGTTAAATAAAGGACCCCATTACTGATACCAATGACATAATTAACAACCAAACCAACTAAGATCTTCACTTCAAGGACTAGATAAAATATTGAGAATTGATGATAAAATGAGAAAATAACTTAAAATGATAAATAATGAACTAGAGGGTTAAATAAGGCGGCATTACTGATACTAAACATAATTAACATCAAATTAAATAAAGATCTTCTACAGGAAGACGCTTAGAGACATAAAAACAATAAACAACCATAAATAACCTTTAAATACCGATAAATAAGAATAGAGAGGTAAACAAGACGACCCCATTGACTTTACTGCCGTTATCCTTCAAACATTAATATAAACAATAACATTAATATTTATGGTCTAATATCTCACTGAATTACTCTATATATTATTATATCAATAACGCTGGCGGAGCCTAGGAGGCGATAATACAATAAAATGGAACATTTGTTATAACGTTTTACCTTCACCTTCCCTATAAAATGGCCGCTAGGGATAGTGTGTATAAAATATTTTGCCTCTAATTTATCAGATTTTATTGAGTTTCTGTTTATTGGAGTTTTTATTATTATTTTATTATTAGAATTATTTTGATGATTTTATGAAGGATTTAGTATTTTATATATTGGTATAATATTTATTTTTTCAGATTAACCAAGATTAAAGTTTTTGGTATTATTTTTAATATTTATAATTATTGATGAATAATATATATAAATGGTCATTATTATGTCAAAATTAGTATTATTTATATACGGTATTAATATTTTTTTCTAAATCACGATAATAAATTGAATAAATAATTTCTTAACTACTATTTAAGTTTTATTAATTTTTAAGACTATTTAAATAATATATCGTAAATAAATATCCAGAAATTAATATTTGTATGAATATAATTTCAATGTTTTGATTCAACACGACTCCAGGTACAATGAGCTACAATATTAATACAAATTGCTCCTAAAATATAAACTACACACAATAACCGTTAAAAAATTATTATAAATATTAATCATAATAATAAACATTAATATTAAGCAAAATAAAATATAATTATAATAAAGTTGGAAATATCAGTATAGCTTTTGATTTGACTATAAACCAAAATGGCGGCGGTGGAGAGACGTCATTAAGGCGGGAAGTTTAAAGCCAGACCTCAACACACAGGTAACTAACTAATACTACTATTTAACGTATAATATAACCATAGTAGTATAATAAACCACTAAATCATATAATATAGCCTATAAATACGATCAATAATAGGTAATAATAGGTTAAAACTAGGTAAAAGTGTCCCCTAACCCAGGCCATATAGAGACGCCATTATTATTTATTTCCTTATTTATTCCTCCATTTATCATCTTTTTTATCTTTATGTTATATTTATTGTGTTTATTAAGTAATTATCTGTACTATTATGTATATTGAGACATATGTACATACTGTGAGGTGAGGTGAGGTGAGGTGGAGGCAGGTGAGTGAGGCAAGGTGAGGCAGTGTGAGTGAGGTGAGGTGTGGCGAGTGAGGTGAGTGAAGCAGGTGGTGGTGAGGTGAGGGTGTGGCATGGTGGTGAGTGAGGTGAGTGGTGAGGTGAGGTGAGGTGAGGTGAGGTGAGGTGAGGCGAGGCGAGGTGAGGCAGGAGGTGAGGGGAGGTGTGGCGAGGTGAGGTGAGGTGAGGTGAGGTGGAGGTGAGGTGAGGTGAAGGTGAGGTGGGAGCGAGGTGAGGCAGGGGTGAGGTGAGGTGAGTGGGTGAGGTGAGGTGAGGGTGAGGGTGAGGTGGGCAGGAGCAAGGGAGGTGAGGTGCCTGGCTCTCCCCAGTCAGTAGGGTGCCAGACTCACGGGCGGCTGGCACTGTTAGCTCGCTCTATACTAGTGCCAAGAGCCGAGTCTGAACGCCAGGCAGTTGGGAGTGTACGCCAGGCACTTACAGAGTTACGCCAGACTGTGATTTATTACGCCAAGCACTTAGTTACTTTACGCCAGGCATTTGAAAGCTTACGCCAGGCCGAAGCTTACGCCAGGCCCTTGGCTTACGCAGGCCCGAAAGCTTACGCCAGGCATTTGGCTTACGACAGGCCCTCGAAAGCTTACGCCAGGCCCGAAAGCACGCCAGGCATTTGAAATCTTACGCCAGAGCGCCAGACGATTTAACGCCAGGCATTGATATCAGTACGCCAATCATTCCAGTTTACGCCAAGCACTTATTGTTGTCAACTTCAGGCACTCAAAGATAACGCCAGGCACTTGAACTTACGCCAGGCACTAGACTTACGCCAGGCATGAACTAACGCCAGGCACTTAGAAAATACACAACACACTTACGCCAGGCATAAACTAACGCCAGGCGCCTAGAAAAACACAACACACTCCACACAACCTCACAACACACTCACACAACACACAACACACTCCACACAACACCACCTACACCACACTCACACAACACCTCACACAACACACTCACAACACCCTCACACAACACACTCACACAACACACTCACACCACACACTCCACACAACACACTCACACAACACCTCACACACCTCACACAACACCCTCCACACAACACCCTCACACAACACACACACACAACACACTCACACAACACCCTCACACAACACCTCACACAACACTCACAACACACACTCATACACCATGTTGAGTACAAACCGCCACAAAATATATAATTCCTTCACACACTCACTATGACAACCATGCGTGTCGTGGCTCCTTAACAACCATACGTGTCGTGGCTCCTCTAACGTGAATGAAATAGTGAATAAGGTGAAAATAAATAAGGAACACTGATAAGGAAATAATTAGGGCATTTAGTGAATAATAGCGATATACTGGTTCAGTTTATATATTGTCCATTAATATATTGAGTAAGTCTCTGTCTCTATGTTAAAATATATTATTATTATTATTATTATTATGACATGAGTACCTTTTAGAGTCCATCTTTGGTACACACACACACACACACACACAAAGTGACTGCTTTTCACCCTAACCCTCACACTTATTACCAATTAAAGATTTGTGAGCCTTCTGTAGTGTGAGGGCCTTCTGTAGTGTGAGAACCTTCTGTAGTGTGAGACCTTCTGTTGTGTGAGACCTTGTGAGACCTTGTAGTGAGACCTTCTGCTGTGTGAGGCACTCTAGTGTGAGGCCTTCTGTAGTGAGGCCTTCCTGCTAGTGTGGGCCTCCTGTAGTGTGGGGGCTCTGTAGTGTGAGCCTTCTGTAGTGTGAGGGCCTCCTGTAGTGAGGGGCCTCCTGTAGTGTGAGGCCTTCTGTAGTGTGAGGGCCTCCTGTAGTGTGAGGAGGCCTTCTGTAGTGTGAGGGCCTCCTGTAGTGGGGCCTCCTGTAGTGGGGGGCCTCCTGTGGTGTGGGGGCCTCCTGTAGTGAGGGCCTTCGTAGTGTGAGGGCCTCCTGTAGTGTGAGGGCCTTCTGTAGTGTGAGGGCCTCCTGTAGTGGAGGCCTCCTGTAGAGGCCCCTAGTGGGAGGCCTTCTGTGGTGTGAGGGCCTCTGTAGTGGGGGACCTCCTGTAGTGTGAGGGCCTCCTGTAGTGTGAGGACCTCCTGGTGTGAGGGCCTTCTGCAGTGTGAGGGCCTTCTGTAGTGTGAGGGCCTTCTGCAGTGTGAGGCCTCCTGTAGTGTGAGGCCTCCTGTAGTGTGAGGGCCTCCCTGTGAGTGTGAGGCCTTCTTAGTGTGAGGGGCCTCTCTGTGTGTGAGGGCCTCCTGTGGCTCACAGGTCATTAATGAGTTATTAGGTGAGGAATATAATTATAGGTGGATACAATTACAGGTACGTGTACTTTCCTCCTAGATAGTGCCACTAGCTACTTTCTCTTGGCACTTTCCCCAAAACACTAGCCCTTACTAGACACTTTCCCCAAACACTAGCCCTTGCTAGACACTTTCCCCAAACACTAGCCCTTACTAAATTCTCCCCAAAACACTAGCCCTTCTTAGACACTTTCCCAAACACTAGCCCTTACTAGATACTTTCCCCAAACACTAGCCCATACTAGGTACTTTCCCAAAACACTAGCCTACTAAACACTTTCCCCCAAACACTAGCCCTTACTGAACACACTTTCCCCAACACTAGCCCTTACTGAACACTTTCCCCAAACACTAGCCCTTCTAAACACTTTCCCCAAACACTAGCCCTTACTAAACCTTTCCCCAAACACTAGCCCTTATATAAACACTTTCCCCCAAACACTAGCCCTTACTAAACACTCAACAAACACTGACAACACTACAAACACTATTTAACCACAAACACTAGCCCTTACTAAATACTTTCCCCAAACACTCCCCATACTATGCTCCCCAAACATGGCCTACTAAACACTCCAAACACTGAACCCTAAACACTCTCAAACACCCACCTTACTAAACACTTTCCCCACACTAACACGAACTTCTCCCAAACACTAGACCTTATAAACACTTTCTAAACACTAGCCCTTACTAAACACTTTCCCCAAACACTAGCCCTTATAAACACTCCCCAAACACTATCCATACTAAACACTCCCCAAACACTAGCCATCTAAACACTTTCCCCAAACACTACCCTTACTAAACACTCACCAAACACTAGTCATACTAAACACTTTCCCCAAACACTAGACCTTACTAACCTTTCTAACACTAGCCCTTACTAGATACTTTCCCCAAACACTAGCCTACTAATACTTTCTCAAACACTAGCCATACCTAAACACTTTCCCAAACACTAGACCTTACTAAACACTTTCCCCAAACACTAGCCCTTACTAGACACTTTCCCCCAAACACTAGTACTAAACACTTTCCCCAAACACTAGTACTAAACACTTTCCCCAAACACTAGCCCTTACTAGACACTTTCCCCAAACACTAGACCTTACTAAACACTTTCCCCAAACACTAGCCCTTACTAAACACTTTCCCCAAACACTAGCCCTTACTAAACACTTTCCCCAAACACTAGCCCTTACTAAACACTTTCCCCCAAACACTAGCCCTTACTAAACACTTTCCCCCAAACACTAGCCCTTACTAAACACTTTCCACCAAACACTAGCCCTTACTAAACACTTTCCCCAAACACTAGATTTTACTAAACACTTTCCCAAAACACTAGACCTTACTAACCTCTTTCCCCAAACACTAGCCCCTCACTAAACACTTTCCCCAAACACTAGCCCATACTAAACACTTTCCACCAAACACTAGCCCTTATAAACACTTTCCCAAACACTAGACCTACTAAACACTTTCCCCCCAAAACACTAGACCATACTAAACACTTTCCCCAAACACTAGCCCTTACTAAACACTTTCCCCCCAAAACACTAGCCCTTACTAAACACTCCCCAAACACTAGCCTTACTAAACACTCACCAAACACTTATTACATACTAGACAACCCAAACACTAGACCTTACTAAACACTTTCCCCCAAAACACTGAACCTTACTAAACACTTTCACAAACTTCAACCCTTACTAAACACTTCCCCCAAACACTAGCTACTAAACACTTTCCCCCAAACACTAGACCTTACTAAACACTTTCCACCAAACACTAGACCTTACTAAACACTTTCCAAACACTAGACTACTAAACCTTTCCCATTACTTATACCTAGACACTTTCCCCCAAACACTAGACCTTACTAAACACTTTCACCAAACACTAGCCCTTACTAAACACTTTCCCCAAACACTAGACCTTTAAACACTTACCAAACACTAGCCCCACAAACACTCCCCCCAAACACTAGCCATACTAAACACTTTCCCCCAAACACTAGCCCTTATAACACTCACCAAACACTAGCTTACTAAACACTTTCACCAAACCTAGACAACCACCTAAACACTTTCCCCAAACTAGACCTTACTAAACACTTTCACCAAACACTAGACCTTACTAAACACTTTCCCCAAACACTAGCCCATACTAAACACTTTCCACAAACACTAGCCCTTACTAAACACTTTCCCCCAAACACTAGCCCTTACTAAACACTTTCCACCAAACACTAGACCTTACTAAACACTTTCCCCAAACACTGACCCTACTAAACTACTCCTCAAACACTAGACCTTACTAAAACACTTTCCCCCAAACACTAGCCCTTACTAAACACTCACCAAACACTAGCCCTTACTAAACTTACTCACCAAACACTATAGCCCCACTAAACACTCCACCAAACACTATTCAAACACTTTCAAACACTAGCCCTTACTAAACACTTTCCACCAAACACTAGACTACCTAAACACTCCCCCAAACACTAGCCCTTACTAAACACTTTCCACCAAACACTAGCATACTAACACTTTCCCCCCAAACACTAGACCTTAAACACTTTCACCAAACACTAGACCTTACTATACTCAAACCGACTACTAAACTTTCCCCCCAAACACTAGCCCTTATAAACACTTTCCACCAAACACTAGCCCTTACTAAACACTTTCACCAAACACTAGCCCTTACTAAACACTTTCACAAACACTAGCCCATACTAAACACTTTCCCAAACACTAGCCCATATAAACACTCACAAACAGACCTTACTAAACACTTTCCCCCAAACACTAGCCTTACCTAAACACTTTCCACCAAACACTAGCCCATACTAAACACTTTCCCCCAAACACTAGCCATACTAAACACTTCCCCAAACACTAATATACCTAAACACTCACCAAACACTAGCCCTTACTAAACACTTTCCCCAAACACTAGCCCTTACTAAACACTCCCAAACACTAGACATACTAAACACTCCCTAACACTAGCACCCACTAAACACTTTCCCCAAACACTAGTCCTTACTAAACACTTTCCCACCAAACACTAGCCCTTATAAACACTTTCCACCAAACACTAGCCTTACTAAACACTTTCCCCCCAAACACTAGCCCTTCTAAACACTTTCACCAAACACTAGACCTTACTAAACACTTTCCCCCAAACACTAGCCCTTACTAAACACTTTCCCCAAACACTAGCCTTACTAAACACTTTCACAAACACTAGCCTTATAAACACTTTCACCAAACACTAGCCCATACACTTCTCCCAAACACTAGCCCTTACTAAACACTTTCCCCAAACACTAGACCTTACTAAACACTTTCCCCAAACACTAGCCCTTACTAAACATCTCCCACCAAACACTAGCCCTACTAAACACTTTCCACCAAACACTAGCCTTACTAAACACTCTCCCAAACACTAGCCCTTACTAAACACTTTCCACCAAACACTAGCTCCATTAAACACTTTCCAAACACTAGCCCTACTAAACACTTTCCACCAAACACTAGCTCCCACAAACACTTTCCACCAAACACAGCTCTAACAAACACTTTCTCCCCAAACACTAGCCCTTACTAAACACTTCCACCAAACACTAGCCCTTACTAAACACTTTCCACCCAAACACTAGCCCTACTAAAACACTTTCCCAAACACTAGCTCCTACTAGACACTTTTCCCCAAACACTAGCCCTACTAAACACTTTCCACCAAACACCTAGCCCCACTAAACACTTTCACCAAACACTAGCCCTTACAAACACTCCTTCCCCAAACACTAGCCCTTACTAAACACTTTCCCCAAACACTAGCCCTTACTAAACACTTCCCAAAACAATAGCCTTACCTTCAAACACAACTCCACAAACACTTTCCCAAACACTAGCTCCTTACTAAACACTCTTCCACCAAACACTAGACCTTATTAAACTTCCAAACACTAGCCCTTACTAAACACCTTTCCACCAAACACTAGCCCTTACTAAACACTTTTCCACCAAACACAGCCATTAAAACACTTTTCCCCAAACACTAGCCCTTACTAAACACTTTCCACAAACACTAGCCTACTAAACACTTTCCCCCAAACACTAGCCCTTACTAAACACTTTCCAAACACTAGCCCTTACTAAACACTCTTCACCAAACACTAGCCCTTACTAAACACTCTTCCACCAAACACCAGCCTTCTTACTAAACACTTTCCCCCAAACACCAGCCCTTACTAAACACTTTCCCCCAAACAGTCTCTTACTAAACACTCTTCCCCAAACACTAGCCCTTACTAAACACTTTTCCCCAAACACTAGCTCTACTAAACACTCTTCTTCCACCAAACACTAGCCCTACTAAACACTTCTTCACCAAACACTAGCTCCTTACTAAACACTTTCCACCAAACACTAGCTACTACTTAAAACACTTCAAACACTAGCTCCTTACTAAAAACACTTTCCACCAAACACTAGCTCCTTACTAAACACTTCTTCTCAAACACTAGCCCTCACCAAACACTCCTTTCCAAACACTAGCTCCTTACTAAACACTCTTCCACCAAACACTAGCTCCTTACTAAACACCTTTCCCCAAACACTAGCCCTTACTAAACACTCTTCCCAAACACCAGCTCCTTACTAAACACTTCTCTCAAACACTAGCCCTTACTAAACACTTTCCCAAACACTAGCTCCTTACTAAACACTTTCCCAAACACTAGCCTACCAAACACTTCTCCAAAATAGCCCTTACTAAACACTTTCCCCAAACACTACTTTCAAACACTTTCCAAACACTCTTCTTACTAAACACTTTCCACCAAACACAGCCTTACTAAACACTCTTCCCCAAAACACTAGCCCTACTAAACACTTTCCACCAAACACTAGCCCTTACAACACTTTTCCACCAAACACTAGCTATTACTAAACACTTTCCCCCAAACACGCCTTACTAAACACTTTCCACCAAACACTAGCCCTTACTAAACACTTTCCCCAAACACTAGCCCTTACTACACTTTCCCAAACACTAGCTTACTAAACACTTCCCCCAAACACTAGCCCTTACTAACACTTTTCCACCAAACACTAGCCCTCATAAACACTTTCCAAACACTAGATCTAAACACTTTCCACCAAACACTAGCCCTTACTAAACACTTCTCCCAAACACTAGACCTTACTTCCACCAAAACTATAAACACTTTCAAAACACAACTTCCCAAACACTAGCTCTTAAACACTTTCCACCAAACACTAGCCCTTACAAACACCTCCCCAAACACTAGCCCTTACTTCAAACACTAGCCCTTACTAGATACTTTCCACCAAACACTAGCTCCTTACATAGATATTTCCCAAACACTAAGCCTCTATTAGATACTTTCTCCAAACACTAGCCTACTAGATACTTTCCCAAAACACTAGCCCCAACAGATACTTTCCCGAAACACTAGCCCTTACTAAACACTTCAAACACTGGATCTACTAAACACTCCTTTCCCCAAACACTAGCCTCATAAACACTCCTTCCAAACACTAGCCCTTACTAAACACTTTCCCCCAAACACTAGCCCTTACTAGATACTTCTCAAAACATAGCCTTACTAGATACTTTCCTCAAACACTAGCCCTACAGATACTTCTCTGAAACACTAGCCCTCCTTACAACACTTTCCCAAACACTAGCCCTTACTAGGTACCTTTCTCCAAACACTAGCCCTACTAGATACTTTCCCAAACACTAGTTCCTTACAACTTTCCCTCAAACACTAGCCCTTACTAGACACTTTCTCAAACACTAGCGCCCTTACTAGACATTTCTCCCAAACACTAGCCCTTATTAGATACTTCTAAACACTGCCTTACTAAACACTTTCACACACCTTACTAGATTTCTTCCCAAACACTAGCCCTTACAGGCACTTTTCCTCTCAAACACTAGCCCTTACTAGGTACTTTCCCCCAAACACTAGCCCTTACTAGGTACTTTCCCCCAAACACTAGCCCTTACTAGGTACTTTCCTTCCACAGGTGATGACAAGTAACGCTATTAGAGGAATCAGGAGGAAAAAGTCATCTCTTTCTGAGGTGAAAATAGCCGTACTAGGAGCCCCGGGCGTTGGCAAGAGTGGTAAGTACTATTGGGTGTACTAGTGGCTATTGTGGACTAATAAAGTATATTACTATTAATACTAGTGTGGATACTATTAAGAGTACTAGTGGCTATATTAGAGTACTATTAAGAGTACTAGTAGTTAAGAAGAGTACTAGTGGCTCTTATTAAGAGTACTAGTAGTTGCTAAGAGTACTAGTGGCTCTTGTGAGTACATTCTTAATCTAAACAATTTAATCTAAGATCAAACCAATTAACTCTACGTATTGTAAGACAAAAGACACACACACACACACACACAGATACACACACACAGATACACACACACACACACCAGTAATCTCTCTATCTCTCTATCTCCTCATCTCTCTCTCTTCCCTCTCATTCTCCTCTCTCATCTTCTTCATTCTCTCCTCAGCTCTCATCGTTCGGTTCTCACTAAGAGCATCGGGAATACGATCATCAAGCAGGTGAGTCAACTACGACTAGTTTTGTTCACTACTGAGTTTTAACCTTTAATGATGCTGGTTTAACCTTTGATGATGCTGGTTAACCCTTAATGGTGCTGGTTTCCCTTATGTTAGTAACCCTTTTGAGTAAGATAATTGCACACTTAAATAAGAACATCAATAGTGAATAATGAAACACACCTGTAATTAGAGTCTCTACCACAACAACTACTACAACCACCACAACTACCACAAACTACCACATACTATACCACACACAATTAAGGTGATGTACAGGTGATAAAAACAGGTATGTCACAGGAGGCTGATGCCTCATTATCCCCCCGCACTATCACAGCTTCTTACCTACTGTCTGTCTGTCTGTGTATGTCTGTTCATGTGTGTATGTATGTCTGTGTAAGGAGAATACTATGTATGTTTGTATGTACGTATTTATGTATGTTCGTCAGTATGTACGTATAAGTTATATATCTAGCTCTCTATATCATTAATTATATATGACTAAATATATATAATACATGGTGGACCAGTCACACATGTCCCATCCTTCCCACACACCTGAAATTAATGCGTTACTTCAAGTGTGGAGGGGGGGGTAGTGTCTCTCTCTCTCTTCTCTCTCTCTCTCTCTCTCTCGTTGTTAGTGGTGGCAGAAGGTGTGATAGAATGCTACAGTTGGCACGTGGTAAGAGAACAGTTGTCATACACGGTGCCAACCTGACTGTGCAATTGACTGTGAGCCAAGCTTTATCACGAGGTGACTGATTTAACCTGCATTCTCAATGATTTATGTTAAGTTTTCCTCCTAACTGATGCTGAGAGAGAGAGAGAGAGAGAGAGAGAGAGAGGAGAGAGAGAGAGAGAGAAGAGAGAGAAGAGGAGTGAGCGAGAGCGAGGAGAGTGAGAGCGAGAGAGAGAGAGAGAGAGAGAGAGAGAGAGAGAGAGAGAGAGAGAGAGAGAGAGAGAGAGAGAGTTCATTATCTCACATTCTTCCTGTTAAAGAAGGAGTTTTTGTGTCTCGGAACAGTTACATGTGGTGGTGGTGAGTGGTAGTGGTAGTGGTATAGTGATAGTACTAGTACAGTTTAACGATTTAGCCAGTGTAGGGCCAGGTGTCCGGTCTTCCTAGGCTACACCAAAACACTGGTTACCTTGTGCCGTCCACCCCACAATACGAGGGTAAGGGGCTAGAGATGGTGTGTGCAGAGTGTGGGCCACACACACACACACACACACACACACACACACACACACACACACACACACACACATATTATCTCTGCATCCTCAATGCCAAACACCCATCTCCCTCTCACCCCACCCCCACCCCCACCACCCTCCCAGACAGAGAGAGCCAAGAGCCACCCAGAGCCTGTCAGCAAGCAAACAGTCCCCACAGCACCTATGCCAACACACACACAGAGGCACCACCCCCACACACACACACACAGAGGTACCACCCCCCACACACACAGAGAGGTGCCACCCCAACACACACAGAAACACCCCCACACACACAGAGAGGTACCACCCCACACACACACAGAGGTGCCCTACACACACACAGAGGTACCAACCCCACACACACAGAGAGGTGCACACACACACACACAGAGGTACCACCACACACACATAAAACACCACACACATAGTAGGTACCACCTCTACACACACACACAGAGGTACCAATTTCACACACACAGGTATTAATACCCACATCCATGAAGGCAATACACCTCACCATCAACACCTCACGTTAGACACATTTAGTTAACTCATCAACACACGCACTTAACTCCACAACACATGCATTTTAACACACACGCATTTTAATATCAACACATGCATTAACACATCAACACACGCTCTTATCTATCAACACACGCACTTAAATACGAAAAGTATAATATATTATGATGACATATGTGTGTGTGTGTGTGTGTGTGTGTGTGTGTGTGTGTGTGTGTGTGTGTGTGTGTGTGTTATAGTATCGTGTTGTTTAAATGACAGAGAGAGAGAGAGACAGAGGGGAAAGACTCTCTCACTTACTTAAATATAACTACTTAAACACACTAGAAAGCTAAGTTAAAACAGCCACCATCTTTTATTCCACCAGACGACCCTGTCGTAATGAAGTACTGTGAATTGACCGTGATATCAAGATGGATTAGGTAGTTAAACCGTGTGTGTGTGTGTGTGTGTGTGTGTGTGTGTGTGTGTGTGTGTGTGTATGTGTGATATTATTGTTCATTTAGACAATATTTCTCCCTCAGCAGACAGAGGTGAATGAGATCTTGGTGACGGTGAACTGTTTTGAGATATGACACAAAAGGTATGTAGAAGTGTGGTAGTGGTGGAAGGGTGGTGGTAGATGGTAGTAGGTGTAGTGATGATAGACAATATAATAAAGTTTAATGCTAAAAATATACTTTGCAGTACTGTTAGTGAAAAACATGGGGATTTATACATACCAAATGAACTATTGATGGAAACAAGACGTCTTGGTGACTGAAACAGTATATATTATCAAATATTATTCCACAAAATCACTAATTACACAACCTACACAAAACACGAAACAATAACGCCATTCAATCATAAGAATTTTCTATGGTCACTTTGCCAAGGTGGGTGGTGGGCAATAAATGAGTCTTAATGAACTTGTTATATGTGAGAGTTCTTGATTAGAGACTTGTGGTGGGTCAGGTAGATTGTGGTAGGTATTGTGGTAGGCATTGTGATTGTGGTAGGTATTGTGGTAGGATTGTGGTAGGTATGTGGTAGGTATTGTGGTGATTGTGGTAGGGTATTGTGGTAGTTATTGTGGTAGGTATTGTGGTAGGCATTGTGGTAGGTATTGTGGTGGATTGTAGGTATTGTGGTAGGTATTGTGGTAGGTATTGTGGAGGTATGAGGGATTGTGGTAGGTATTGTGGTAGGTATTGTGGTGGGGTTGTGGTAGGTATTGTGGGTAGGTTGAGGTGGATTAGTAGGTATTGTGGTAGTGTAACACTGACTACCTGTTGCCTGACCAGATGTAAAACCAACTCACCTGAAGCCACCGGATTGTTTACCTGAACCTGTTAGGAAAGTAGGTCAGGTCTGCCTAGTAGTGGTAGTGGTGGTGGTAGTAGTAGTAGTAGTAGTAGTAGTAGTACCATCACCACACTATCACACACAGGTGCTAATTACCCTTGGTCAACATTCAACAGGTGAGGTACAGGTATTAAACATCCTTTCTCTTGTCATGTTTATAGTTAATACTGAAATGTTTATATATAGTCACTGAAGAAGAATGTGTGTGTGTGTGTGTGTGTGTGTGTGTGTGTGTGTGTGTGTGTGTGTGGGTGGGAGGGCTGATGGTGTGTAGGAAGGTTAATGTGTGTGTGATGAGAGGTGCACAAAGGCAATATTTAAGTTTAAGCCAGGAAACATCAGAGCTTTCATAATTGGTGAAATAAGCTAGATGCCTTATATACACATTATCTAAGCTTGAGGTAAGGCATGCTTTGTGTAAGATCAAGCTGACAGCATCAACAAGGCAAGAGTTTCAACAATATACAGAGCAGTAAAGGACACTCAACACCTGTTAGTGATGATCTCTTAAAAACATCATGGTTAGCTAGAGAGGGGAGGAGAGGGGAGAGGGAGAGAGGGGGGGAGGGGAGGGAGAGGGAAGGGAGAGGAGGGGAGAGGGGAGGGAGAGGAAGGGAGAGAGGAGGAATGAATGTGAGACAGACAGACGCACCCCGACGAAGGCGTGGTGGTGGCTACAGTATAAATAAAACACACTAGTGGGGGCTGACACTAGTGGGGGGGGCACCAGCAAATACCTGTGGGGCTGGACACTAGGTGGGCTGACACACCAGTAATGGATGCACCAGTGGAGGTTGACATCAGTGGGGCTGACACACTAGTAAAATGACACATCTGGTAAAATATCAATTATAAATGACAATACCTGGGGTGGGGGGCCACGTTTAATTTATGTAAATATTATTGACTAGTAATGACACAATTTGGAGTGGGGCTTATTTACATCTAGTGGTCATTAATTAGTAGCTTGACACAATTTCAGGGGTCCTGAACACACTAGTGGGGCTGACAACACTGAAAGTGGGTCTGATTACCACCAGTAAAATGTATACCACTAGTGGGGGTCTGGAATACCAATTAGTTAAATGCATTAATTAGTAAAATACCACACTAGTAAAATGGACAACAATTAGTAAACACTACCAACTGGGTGGGGGCTGATCACCAATTAGTGGGGGGCCTATCAGCTAATTAGTAAATGACACACACTGAAGAGTTTAATGCCAATTAGTGGGGCCTACTACTAATTAGCAAATATCAAATAATTAGGCAGTCATTTAACACTAGGGGCTGACACACAATTTGAAATAACAATGGGGGTTGACACAACAATTAGTGGAAGGACACAATTAGGTAGTTTATCACATCAAGCGGTGTATTTAAATCTAGTGGGGGGCCTATCAGCCTAATTAGCGGTAATAACAATCTAAAGTAAAATGACTAACAAATTAGTAAATATCAAATCAGCAAAAATTTATCACAACAGTAAAATGACAAATCAAAATGTAAAATATCAACACCTGAAGTGGGGGTTTATCACACCATAAATGAACACACCGGAATGACAACAACAGCGGGGCCGGATGACATCATAAATAACACTGGCAAAATGACACACTAGTGGGGGCTGACACACTAGCAAATATCATTAATTCAGGAATATCAATGCCGAAGTAAAAATGTAACACACCAGTAGCCCATCACCAGCGGTGTTTATCAACACTAGGCGTAATGATTAATTAGGTAATGACACAAATTGAGTTAAAATAGACACAATGGTAAAATTTATCAACATCTAGTAAATATCAACAATTATTTAATGCACGTTCTCAGTGGATGAATAATTGGAGTAAATGACGACTGAAGGAAATGACACACCAGGCATGACACCCCTATGGCTGAGT